TGTGGCAAACAGGAATTTGGGATCAATGTCCCAATTCCCGTACACCATGGGGACTGGGGGAAAATTGGGAGGCATGTTCTCTGTCTCCCAGTTTGAGACTGGTTACCCACAGTAATATCTGCATAGCATTTTCTGCCTCCCTCGCCCCCTACTGGCACTTCCAGGCATTACTTCCCCATTGAGTGTACACAGTTCTTCCTTGCAAGGTGTGTTTCTGGAGAAACACAATTTAAGAAGATATTCATGTTCTTATCTACTTCATACAGTTCATAATAAAATGCCTTAAGTTTTATAGCTGACTGGGCTGAATACGAGCTGAAAATGTGGTGAGACTGCTAACAAGGGCAACATAAAGCCTGCAAACTAACTTAATGGTTAAAGAGAGTCAAATTGTGTGTGTGAATTTCTGTCTAGTTCTGGATGCAACTTTTTAAAAAGGGTACTCAAGAAGTGCAATATGGCCATGCACTTATTAGGGGATTAGAAGCATAATGACAATGATCACAGTTAAAGGAAGGGAAGCTATTTGGCTTGAGAAGAAATCACTGAAGAATGACATAACCGCTACATTCCTGCATGCAGCTAAAGGGAAGTCAGACATGCAGTGGAGTCAATTCGCCTGATATTTTTCCAGAGGGCAGAACTCTGGGGAAAAGTTTGAGAAAGACATATTTCAGGTCGAAAAAAAAGAATGATTTTATAACCATTAGAGCTTTCTTTTATCAAATGCAAGACCCTAGTCCCTAAAAATACTTAAGCATAGGGGAAAAGATCACCAACACCTCTCCCAGCCCTTAAAATACAAGGAGGGCTTGCTTTTCATGATTAAAGCATGTGTTGTCCCAGCTGGCTGAGTTAGGACCAGGTCCCACATGGTTCTCACCAGAGGATCACTTCAGTCACCAGCATTTTGTCTCTGGCGTCTCAGACTACCGCACTGTTGCCTACTTAGGCAGTCCTTTCAACTTCCCTGTTGTGACACCTTCCCTGTGGCTTTGTGCTGGGGCTCTCGCCAGCTTTGTGGATTAGCAGTGTGGTTTGGGACTTACTCTTACAACACTCACGGCTATCTGCTTTCTCTCCCTAAACCCAGCTACTTCAGGCAACAGGGATTGGACGTACGGCCCCATTCCCAGGAACAAGACATAGGTGAGAGCTCATTTTAAATTACTTCCTCTTTATTTTATTTTTAAAACAGTTATTTTATTTTATCTGTAGTTATTTATTTATTTATTTTTCATTTGACCAGAGAGGAACACAGAGAGAGAGAGAGAAGGAAAGTGAGAAAGCAAGCCGCCAGGTCTGGGACTTGACCATGGGTGGCCATGTGGGAGTCCAGCACACTTAACCACCATGCCACCTGCCAGCCCCACTTCCTCTTTATTTTTAATTGCCAGAGAGTGCACATTCTTGCCAGAAAGAGAATGAGAGACAGAGAAGAAAAGAGAGAAAGCACTCCCCAGTGGGATGCGGTCATACCACAATCCCTTCTCTTCCATCATTCCATCCTGTTGAGATTTGGGGCACACAAGCACATGTACCCAGTGAGTTTTTCAACCCGTTGGGGCCAAGATTCAAACTGCAGTTGGTTATGTGGGAACCACCAAGCCATAGAAGAGCCCTATATTAAATGACTTCTAATTTTGCTTGCAATTCTAAAATTTCATCATTATTTCCCTTTTTTGTTTAGGCTATCCTCATTCAAGTTTATTCATTTTTTTTCCTTCTGTATGAGAGAGCAAGAAAGTGAGAGAGACAGAACTCCCAACATGGTCTGATACTACAACCAACCCTTAGCCTTCAGCCAGACCTGGACCATGAGCACATGTATGCCTGGCATAAGCAGGGAGGTCTCTGGACATGAACCAGAAACCCTTTCATGTAAGAATACCTCACAGAGTGGTGTGTTTTACTGCTGCACCATTCTCATTTTTAAGCTTTGTTACTGTTATTAACCTACAAGCAACCCTGAGAGAATTAAACCAGTTTCTTATTTATGATGCTATGAGTTCAACTCCTCCAACTTTTGGTAATTGACTTTGCCTTTTCCCTTGTCTCAAGTCATGAATGTCCATAAGGAAACAAGTCTGGTGGCTCTGCTTTCTCTGTGGGTGATTTTTATTGCTCTCACGTAAACTAGTGACCTTCTTCAGCAGTTTATGTCTTAGTTGCATTCTCCTGCAGAGGGTGCTGTTTCTCACACCTCTCACTGTTGTCAGACCCAGGGGTTGCTCAGTGGACACTGAATATCCCCTCCGTCTTCTGCAGGAAAGGAGAATCAGCTGTCCAGTGGAACGGTTCTTTCTGATTCCAAAAGGAGAGCTTGTTTTTCATGATTAAAACATGTTTTGTTCCAGCTGGCTGAGTTAGGATCAGTAACCCCAGACGGATTTTGGAATACATCTTCAGGGAACTGAGCTGGGAAAACTATATGGTGTTACAATATTCATTTGCTGTTAATATTTCCTCAACAAGCCATTACTGATGATCTGCTGTGCCCCAAGGGCTTAGAAACTGGAAAGCAAAATTGATTCTAAGGAAAAAGGAACAACCAACCCCACAGCTCTGGAGTGGAATGTGAATTCATAGGCTTTGTACTGGCTGAAGATGGTGGTCAAAGCCCTGCTTTGTACGAGTTGAGAGACTTTGGGCAAGTTATTTCAGTCCTGTAACGTGTCTGTGTGCCATGAGCACTGGACAATTGAGAGCAAAGGCGAAGAACCTAACACAATGTCTAGAATAGAACAGGTCCACGAAAACGTTGCTTTCCTCCCCTTTGATTATTTCCCAGGGTAATATCTGTAGAAACGATGTGGCAGTTACTCAGACATCACTTGTGGTATCTGGACCCCAATCCTGACCTTTAAATGTCTTCCTCGGGGTCCAGGTGAAGCTTCTGGACTCTCTTTAAGTGAAGGCCCTTGTAATCTACCAGGGTATTTGGGTATATCTTTGGATTACACACCTAAAACATTTTCATTTTCTTCTCTACTACTTTTCATTAACCTTTTCTTTCTCATTTTTGTGTCTCATTCTCTCTCTTATGGTTTTTCTTCCTGACATGCCAAGTTTCCATTTCATGGTTTCTCATCCTAATTTCTAGTAAAATGAAGAAATTCCTGATGCCCCCACTTCTATTTCTGGTAATCTCTTTAATACCAACATTTCTTATGGAGCTTGTTGCAACCATCTAAATGCATCACAATATTACAGGTGTGGCCTTTGTCCCACCATGTTCTCTCTTTCAGTAATACTTGGAAAATGCCCCACTTTGCAGAAATCTCATAGCAGAATATGTGGATAATAGAGGCTTTCTTGTTTGGGGAACCAGTGACACTTCCGTTGAAATGTAAGGAGCTAGAACTTGGGTGAGCAGGAGGACATTGACAAAGAGAGAAGCTAAGTTTAATGTGTGAAGCAAGGATGGAAAAGCTTTGCAGGGCACACATGACACAAAGATGGGGCCATTGGATATGTCACTCTTCAGAACTCTACTGGAGATTCAGGAGCATATGAAGCTTCACACACTCTGAGAAAAAACAACAAAAAATGAATGACAATGGAGGCTGTGGGCATTGGACCTTTTAATTGTGGACTTCATTTGAAACTGTCATAGCTTGAGGCAATGCTTTTCTCAAAAGTAACTTTGTCACCTACCTTATCTGAAGATTTTGTCTTCAACTTTCACCTGGAGAAAATGTTCTGAGAAAAATCAAACCACTGGAATTATTTATTTAATACTGTTCTATTTCTACTATTCTAACTCTTATAAAGTATAGAGAAGGAAAAGACACACTTAATAAATAGAAAATATTTATTATACAGCATTATCAAGATAATTTGACAAAAGGCAATAATAAGCCAAAGGAAAACACTTTTACAAGAAGCTAAACAACTTGTATAAGCACATACATTAGGGTAAAGAGTTTCTGTCCTTTTGGTAAAGGGTATGTCTGTATACATGTCCAATTTTGAACAATTATGATAAAAGAGCTAATACTCTACTCAGGAAAACTCATAATCATAATACTAGTAGGCATTCAGAGTAATAATGTGATCTTCACTGAATGTATTCACCAAGTGTTAAAACCAAAACCCCATAACAAACTGACATCTTACATTATTTGAATAGAAGTTGTTTTCCTTGTCTACCCTAAATTTTTAAAAATCTGAATGCACAAGTCCTGTAATATTAAGGACATAGGTTATTGTTATTAAGATTACAAAGGAAAATATGTTTCGCTGGTCATAGATAGTATGCTTTTCCTGGCTAGTAGGCCAATTAGCAGAAATCCATCCAGTGACCACTGGAATAGTCCATTTTCCTCATTCTGCTTCATGATAATGAAAACATGGAGCTGAGGTCTTCATTTTAGTGTGAGACCTCTTCACTAAAGGTGCTTTAAAATAAATTTTTAAAGTAAAGACCGTCCATTCTTGATATGGAACTGACTAAACTTGGGAATAAAATACAAAGGATCATAATAAACACAAATCTTCAACATTGGAGTCGATGCTAAATTCTGAACAAACGATGCAGTGGATATTTAAAGATTTTAAAATGATTTTTGGCTGAAGAATAAGCAGCTTCAACATGAAGGAAGCATATTAAAATATGCCTGAACATAAGGCAAAAACAAAGATATTTATGGGGGTAAGATTCATTCCACAAATAATAGAAGTAATCAAACAGCAAGAAAAATCCTTTGATTAAGGGTGAAAAGAGAGTAAAAATGGAATAATTGGATTATGTGTACATGGTTAGAACATAACATCAAATAAGAAAAACATAAAGAAAAATTATGACAGAAAAATACAGTGGAAAGAGTACATGAAAATAAAAATTGAAAGGCAAAATGTGATTGTCAAATAAATATTTGAAAAACTATGACCTGACTTAAATATTATGGTATGCTAAAAGCACATAAAGCTCAAGTAGCTGTGGAAAATCTTTTTTACAAAATTTGAAATAACCTGAAATAATCTAAATACCACCTTTTTGATCTTATGTTTTAATAATGATGTGTCCAAGTTTAGAAAATGTACTTTTTATTGTCACCCTCACTTTTTGTGCACTTTTAGTATTACAAAGTTTCAAGCCATTTTGCTAATAATGTATCCTCACAACATAAACTATCTGAAAAATAAGTTCCTTCTTATAGGAGGAATTACCAATTGAGCTGCATTTGAAAAACACTGGGCCACCATATTCAAACCTTCCAAAAGCTTTTGTGGATAACGGTGACAATGATATATAAAACCTTCTTCAAACATTAAAAAAAGATCTATACTCTATCCAAAAGACAATCATTGTTGCAGTTGGGTTGACATCACATTGCACGAATTTTATAATCACAGGTATACATAGACACAGGGACACAGACACTCACTAGTTACAGGGACTTCAGCAACAATAGGCAAGAATTCTTTGTCATTTAAACCAATAATAGTAGCTAGGGTATACCATTCGGCTCAAGATGGACTCATTTCTGTAGCACGGAGGAGAAACAAGGGCACCACATTGTACAGATACCGCGTCTTAGGAGTTCAACTGGTAAGCATTATTTGCTACAGTAAATGGAAGGTAATGAGTTCACCACATGGTTTGTTCTCTTTAAATAATGGGCAATGGAGAACCCGCTTGGCACAAACACAAGTTAATCCGCAAAAGGTCTTCTGTCACTGTCAAAACTCTCTCTTGTTCTGGCCTCTTTCCAAAATCACCAATAAGCAGGTATGGAGTATGCAAAGCTGTTGTCCCTATGGACCCTGTAGGTATAACCCCAGGACCCTGTAGGTACAAGCCCCAGGCTTCTGTTTTGTCCTGCTTCTTCCTCCTCCCTCCTGTAGCACTCTTGATGAAGCACTTTTTGGTGATGAATTTGCTCTTATTCCTATTTTCCTAAATAAAAGGAAATCACAGAGCAGCAGGGCATTCATGCTCCTTTATCCAAGTGTGGTATTGAGGCTGGCCCTGCCTGGGGAGTGGCGGAAGAAGGCCTTGTGGGCCAATCACTGCTCTTTTGCAGATTAGGAGGCTGCAGGCCCAGCAGACAGAAGGGCTTCTGAGGAACGAGCTGCAGTCCCATCCTCTGTCCATGTCCCCTTCACCCCCTGCTCTGTCTGCCTCCACATGCTCACCATGAATGCCATGAGATGAACTAATGACAGCGTGGTCCGCGTGGGCTGTCCCTTTTTAAGCTTGGCCAAGTATGGGTGGGCATATATATCTATGCACAATTGTGCGAAAGAGACTATTTTTGTTGATTTATTATTATCATTATTATTTTTTTGCAATAAAAGTTACATACCATATGGAATTGTGCTTTGTCAGAATTCTCCTTCTTCCCAGAGAAAACTTTTGAATAATTCAAGAATCACAATCCTGGCCTCGATCACTTTCTGCTCCGTCTCCATCCCTCTCTTCTGACTTAAGGCAGCAGCAAGCAGCGTTCTTGTCTTTTCCTGCAGGCTTGGCCTCCACCCCCAAGCCTCTCCTCCCAGCGTTTTGCACATCTCTGGAGGTGTCGGAGCTCTCTGGCTTATCTTACTTTTTCATGTGGACACATCCTCCCTACAGAGTGGAAGAGCTTTGCTTGTAGTCCCGGAGAATGACAGAGGCATAGGTCACGTTGGGAGGGGTGCAGAGCACCGACTCGGACACCGGCGAGCTGGGCACTGAGCTGCCCGAGGCCACCGAGTCTCGGAAAGGCGACGGGGGCGTCAGGGCAGGCGAATCCTCTGGGGTCAATTTGCTGGCTGCCTGCAGATCCTCCTCTTCCTCTTCCAGTTCGTCCTCCTCCGTGTTCCCTTCCCGCTCGTACACATACTCCTGCAGGAGCTTAAACCTCTCGCTGTCATCTTCGTCCTCCGCTGGTGGGGAGACAGGCTCCTCTCCAAAGGTGCTCAGCTGCAGCGGCAGCATCTGCAGGTGCTGCGGAGGTGGCGGGGGCGGATACAGGGACCGCAGCCCGTTCCCTGGCCCCCCAGGGCCTGCCAGCACCGCGTGGAAATCCGGGATCTCAGGGCTGAAGTTGTTGACCGTTCCCTGTAACTGGTCCATTAGGGATTTCTGTGACTGCTGGGGCTGCTGTGGGGTCTGTTGCTGCGGGAGGGGAGGGGGCAAGCCCTTGGGGATGGCCGGGTCAGCCAAGAAGAGGGGGGTCTCCTCCGCGGTCAGATGGGGCGGCAGAGGTGGAGTGGTCACTGCGGTTGGCACGCGCCGGTGCACCACCATGGAAGGGCTGTTGGGAGGGCTGAAGCGCACGGGGTGCGCATCCTCCTCCTCCACGTTGTAAAGGGTCTTGGTGCTGGTATCTGAAAAGGTTAGGCTCTTGCCAGAGCCTTGGTAACTTTTAGTAAGGGGCTTGATGACGGCCGTTTGGTTGCAGGCCGTCTCATTGGTCTTCACGTGCACAGAGAGGCGGTGCCACATGTGCTGTCCCTTGGGCACCTGTCTTCCACCTGGTTCAGACCATGACACAGACTTGCCATTAGAACTATGAATAAAATAGAGATGGGTTTATTTGCACATAGATCATGCACACAGGATAAGATGTATGAATCAAATGCAAACCTAGCTCAATGCAACTTAACTGCCCCTCTTCTGTAGGCCTTCCGGTTGGCCTCCCCAGTCTCCCCTTATGGCTGATCAAATAGCAAAAGCTGTGGTTATCACAAGGAGCCTCTGAAGCCACAGCCAGACAGTCCGCCCCAGCCAAGGAAGGAGATACTGTCCCTGTGAAAAGTTGTTGGGGAGAAAAGCCAATCTGTTGGAGAAGCATGTATTTACATTTAGGTCTAAGATTTCACAAAGTCTCTCTCTCTCTCTCTCTGTCTCTCTCTCTCTCTCACGCACATGCACACACACACACACACACACACACATTCTAAACCAATGATAAAACTGCTGCTCATTGTAAGCCTTTGCAAAATTCTTAAGCTGATAAAGGAAAAACAAACAAACAAACAAACAAACTTCTTAAAATATTAGTTATGCATGAACAGCAGAAAAAACATAATGACTATCGGCCCTGGGACAAATTTTGACCCACATATAAAGCCATTCTCATTGTCCCGGGGGTGATAAAATAGGTCCTCTCTCAGTTGCCCATTCTGATATGCGAGTATTTCCTGTCACCAGAGTGGAGCAATCTTACACACAGCGCCTGTAAGGAAGAGAAACAAGCAGATGACAGACAAACCCAGACCCACAAGAGATTTCAGTGCTTCATAACTTTGGATTTTCATTCTTTATTTCAAAACATTATTCCTGACACATGAAAGGGATCATCATTCACAGAAAGGCCCAGATTCAGAGCAACTAGAGATTTTCACACTAGAAAACATTTAGAATGGGGAAGCCCAGCAAAATATAAATGCCCAGTGCTTGCTTTAGTTCTCTGGAACAGTTTGATTCAAATGAAATAGAATAAAGAACCAGACAAAGCAACAGTTACTGAGACCAAGAGCTCCCTGGATCTTTCCTCACTGAGCCTTGGTGAAGAAAAATCTTAGGGTACCAGCAGCTGTCCAGCCTTTTCAACTTTCATCTTCATGGGACCCTCGTAAAACCAACAAAATAGAATTTCTCTCTGGAGAAGGAAATAAATGAGATCTACTGTCCACATACACTGAAAATTCTATTCTGTATATTGTAATACCTTTGGTCATACTTTTGGACTCTTAGTTTGTTTTCTGTGTAACTTAGCAGATGGTGGTACCTTACCATAACAGTCTATTAATAACAACATTGTTAATACTCAAATCAAGAAGTCTTTTTTTTAGGAGTTTGCATTTTTTTTTGCACCCTTTACAGCAACAGAGAAAGTATCACAGTAATAATATATTTGTGACATCAAAATGAATAGGAAAAATGAACATTTTTTTTTTCCTTTGTGGAGGTGTGAAGTAGTCTGTTCCATACCACAGTGTTTCATTTGAGTAAGTGTAGAAAATGATCAACAGTTAACATGGTGACTCATTTAATCATTTAGAAAATATAAGAATGAATACTTCAAAAATCATATGTGAATATCACACTTAGGATAAGAGTAATGTTTTGACATTTTGTATTTTATAATCCTAAAATGTGAAGTGAGCCAAATCAGTACATATTTGTATAGAAAGTCTAATATTGAGTATAGAATATTCTGGATATAAAAGCTCTAAAATAAATATCGCAATTAAAGTTTTCACCTCATTTGAGGAACAAAATGGTAGATCTTCCATATATTTGATAGTCTATGCTGTATTTTAATGGTCTGAGAACAACCTCTTCTTCATCGTTGGGTTGTCAGGAAAGTCATGACACAGTTTTGCATAGAAAAACATAGAAAAATACGTCACGACTTTTCTGATGATCAAATATATCAAAATCATCATTTTTTACAAATATATAGTAAATATATTATCTGAAAACGTAAAGTGCTTGTAAACATTAAAATTTTGACTTAATTACTTCCACGCTATCTTTTTAGAGTAGCTGTCTCTCCTCTGAGTTGCACAAATTAAAGAACAGGATAGTGGAGTCCCTGGCAAAGCAGCCAGTCAGGGGCAAAACCAAAATCTATAATTACTCTTGTGAATTTAAAACTCTAAGGAAGTTCACCATCTACTTTCATCCTTCTCAATTGCCTTTACCCACCACTCTACATACACTGTTTCTCTCTTTGAGCACTCGTTATGCCTCTTCTAGAAAATACAACTTTTTATGTGCTTCTTACCTTCCTGAGATATGTCTCACTATGCCATCAAAACCAATTATTTGAGTCACTTTCAATTGCAAGGGGAAAACTTCTCTCTTTTCTTAATGCCTATCTCTCAATATTTATCAATAAAATCATTAAATTAAAATGGTACTGTGGGCCAGCCTGTGGCCTGATGGCTAAAGAGGCTGGATCCCACATGAGTCCCATTGTATGGTTCAAGTTTCAGTCCCAGCAGCTTGAAAAACACACTGGATGTGCGTGTGTAAGTGTGTGTGTGTGCCCAAATTTCCCAAAGGAGGGAGAGATGGGGTGGAAAGGATTGCAGCATGACCATCCCTTATAAGGAGTGCTTTCTGGCATTTTTTAAAAAAATGTTATATCTTTTTATGAGAATGTATGTGTGTGTGTGTGTGTGTGTGTGTATCTGTGTCTGTGTGTGTGTTAAAATGAACAAACAAACCAGGTACTTTGACAGCTTGTTCGGACCTAATTGAATCCATAGGTTTAACTGTTCCAATAAATCATTGCTTGAGTCTTCACATATCCTAGCAAAGGTATCCTTGCATTCCTGAAAATCCTAAAATGATTCCAGTTATTCAACTCACTTACTAATACAGACTGTTCTCCTTGTCATCCAGGGGTTCTAGTGGCTCTCTACTTAAATCACACACTTCCGTTAATCAAAGTTCTATTAATCACGTTGTAGATAGATAGATCTCAGGGGCAAGATCTTCAAAAAGTTTGTAGAAAATACATATGAAAAACCTTAGTGTGCATTTCAATTGTTTTTATAGCAAAATAAACTTGTACTTTAATTTCATTTTTTTCAAAAACTACTTCAAATACCCTGTTTAATCACAATTTATCTATTTTCAATAAAATCCAACTTTTATTCTTGCGATAGCAGATTTTTACCATGGCTGTCAAAACTAGCAGCTTTCCTTCCCCTCAGGGTCCTGCTCTAGATTTGCTGTAAAGTACTGTTTAATTAGGAAACAGTTCTAATGCCCAGGGCATTTATCAGATTAATAAAATTAGACTAACCTTTTTTTTTTTCAAGGACAGAATAAATTACTTTCTAAAAACCAGAGATAGTAGAGAACATGAATAGTCTTATAGAAATTGCAGTAGAATATGAACTTTGGTCCTTCAGAATTAGTCATGTCTAATCTAAGGTCCGTAGACAACTTGAAAGGTCATGATTCTACACACGTTTTTAAACAGAGACTCAACAAATACTTTACCTTTATAGATAATGCACTGCTGCTCTTTTGAATGCATGTATATGCTCTTACAATAAATTGTGTGGCTAAGTCAAAGTGTTGCTAGATTCTAAGAGGCTTTTTCTGTGCTCTGTATTCAAATGGCCACTAAGGAGGGAATTTCAAAACATTCATGAAAAAAAAAAGGTATTAAAGTACGAGTTTATTATGGTGCAAAGAAATTTTAAAATCGATGCCTAGTGTCTTCATATGCATTTTCTGTAAAGTTTTTGAAGAAGCCTCATGAAGGAACAATTACTGTCATAGACTTAGGTGAGGATTTTATAAGCAATTTGGTATGAGAAGGAATATCCTACTGGAAAAGGTTGGGAAAACATTGCTGTAATATTAAGAAGAGCAAAATATTTAAAATATAGGGCATGAAAAGGAATAAGTACATTATAGAAATGCAATATTACTATGAACTTTGACTTTTATTTCACCTAGAGGACTTTAATAGCTTTGGCTTTAGCCACCAGCTTCTATTGTTTAATTTCACTTAGTCTCCTAATCTGAAGAAAAACCAACCTGTTCTGGAAAACACTATAGAATCATTACAAAGTATCCTATCCTTCTTGCTCTAACTTCAAAGGTCAGATCTTAAGCCCAAAATAATATTCTATTTGAAGATCAAATGTGGTGGCTTTTGGGATAAATATCTTGGTGGCTAAATACATTTATGGATACTGAAGTTATTGAAGGAATGGTTGTTAGACCTATGGGGACCAGAGATGTTCAGGGTGATGTGTAGTTACCGTGTGCAGAGGAAGGCAGGCCAATGGCTGCTATTTCAGTTACGACAGGTTCTGGATCTTACTTACGTTTTTCTTTCAGTAGATAAGTATCACAATTTCCCCAAACAGAAAAGCCAATATTTACAGCACTTCAGAGAATAGTTGGGAGTGGGTGGTGTAAACAGATTACTATATCTTTGGTGTTCAGAATGATCTTGTCTGTTTTACTCGTTGCAGTAAGTACCAGTTACGTTTTGCAGAGTACATTGCTCTTCGCTCCAGAGAGGTCTAAAATGGGAATCACAGTGGGTGGCTGTTTGAGATCAGGAGGGAAGCATCCCGCACAAGCTGCCCGAGGGAAAGCTTACGCAGCGCCTGCTTCCCTTAAGCACAGTTCAAGTTTGTGCACTAGGCTTAATAGCTTCGCCACAGACATAAGGGCAGAATCCGGAGGGCCCCCGACAACGTAAGACCTTCACGTAGGAAGGAAGCCTTACTCCTTGGAGCCTGCGAAGGTTAGCATTCGTTTTCTTTGAAACATGAAAATGGAAACAAGAAATGCTATTGAGTCCCAGCACGGAGACAATGGCTCACCAAGAAAAGTAACCAAAAGCCGCAGACTTTTAGATAGACCTTCTGTGGCTCCTGCAGCTTCAGCTGGGACCCAAAGCCTTTCAAGGAAGAGGCTCTCTCCACACTGAGGCTAGCCAACAGGAATGCAGGCACGTGGGTGTCCAGACGCTCTCAGCCAGCTGGTACCAGAATGCAGTTCGACAAGTGGTTCTTGTGGAAT